GACGGGATGACTTTGGTCAGTTCATCCAAGAATACTTGCGCCCTTTCCTCCTCTTCGAACATGAGAACGATGTCGTCTGCATATTCCAGATCGACAAGGTTTTCTCCACAGGCTATTTGAACACCAGGATTTTGGAGACCCTCCAGCGTTCGTCTCATTATTTCATCGATCACGAAGTTAAAAAGGAATGGAGAGAGTGGGCATCCCTGACGGACACCGCTTTGTGTGCGGAAACTTTTGGAGAGCTCTCCGTCCGGAAGTCTGAGAATACAAAGAACGTATGATGTTAACAAACTTCCGGGGCATTGCCTGGTGAGCAAGCGTCTCAAGAAGAACAGACCGATCAACCGAGTCGAATGCGCCTCGGAAATCCAGGGATACTAGAATTGTGGGTCGCTTATACGTATGGCGTTGTTCTAGCACCTGACGCAGTGTGAAGATTTGGTCAACACAACCCCTACCAGGCCGGAATCCCGCTTGCTGCTCAGTATCTCACGAGCCACCGTAAGGCGACGAAGCACAATTGACGCCAACAGTCTCGTTAAAACCGGGGTCAAGCTGATCCCCTTCTGGTTACCACACTCACTACGCTTCCCTTTTTTGAAAAAATACAAAATAAGAAAAAGTCAAAAATTCATAGGCCACTAGAAAGAAATCGGTTGTCTGCGCACATTCATACAACTACGTGTGTGGTCTTATTAAGCAACTGATTTAGACAGGATGATGTCTGGATTGCCGCTTGCCCGTTTTGGTGTGAATAATCTGAAATTCCGCACGGCGTGGTTCTGTACGTGTCAGTTGAATTGGTTGAACCTATTTATTCAAGACCGTCAGATTCTAAGCTCGATTTTGTGGGAAAAATCGCGCACCCTTCTTGCGTTGGCAACGTGCGCTCCCAGTTCCGTAATCCAGTAGGTTGGTCTGAAACAGTGAAGTCGCTTAGCAGAAACAAATCACTCCAAGCTATCCCTTTCTGGAAGCCTAATCGTACGCGGGCAAATTGGATGGAATTTGTCGAGAGCTGCGAGGTTTTCATTCAGTTTCATCAATTCGAAGTCCCATATCAAGGCACCGGACCGAAGTATATTCAATGCGAGATAGTTTCCATTGGGGAAAACCCGTTGGGGCGAATAAGCGTAGTTAACACCACTTGCGTAACCTGCAGGGATTAACGTCTCTAGCTGAGTCATGTAAAAGAATTTATTATTAACTATTCTTGGCATTGTCATTGATTGGAACTTGAACTTTTTCCTCATATGTATTATATTAAGACAAAATTGTCTCTGATTCTGAGTGGACCAAAGAAAAGAAAGAGTAGCTCTCACGTAATTTATTATATAATTATCCCCGGTTATCGCGATATTTCCCAGAACGCTGACTTAGTTGAAATGTTAGAAATCTAGATGGGGTTTGGCAGATTTTGAAATGACGTGTTCAAGTGCACATGGTATGGAAGAAAGGCTACGCCTGGGGATGGACCCGAACCACCTACTTCTTAATCACTAAAAGGATGCTCTAAAGAATGAACGCTTATGCAGATTTACTTCAGAGATGATTCGCCACGTTAGGGATCAAAGAGTGCCACTAGCAAGCTGCTTGGAGAAGGGAATTCGGCCGCTTAAGTATGTTCCTAGGATTATACCAAATTTACCCATTGTGAAAGTCAAGCAAAGGGACTAAGTAATAGTCCAGACGAATATCCACTGGGCTGGTTGTGCCTAATCGACTGTGAGGTCCACGTTAATGGGTGTGATGGTGAGAGATCGTCCCCAGTAGCTCGGTCGCTGGAGCATCTGTCCAATAAGTAAGAAGTTAGTAGAACATAAGGTTGATGGAAACTCGGGGACTGCGCTTACCTTATGAGCCCCAAAAAGGGCGAAACCGGCCGTGGGCTGTCGAAGAGTTTTCAGCAACCTTGTGAGTAGTTTCCTTCATAAGAAGTTAGTAGTTCTAATACAGGCGCAGTAATGTCATTCCGCTCATGCTGCGCGTACCTGGACCCCTCTTCCAGGAGGCTGAAGTATGCTTCGTTAACACAGTATACCACTTCTACGTACCACGCGGTAAGTGTTCATGTCGTGGTTTCTCAAAACAGATCGACAGAAGACTTGAACGCAATTTCAATGCACTTTTACAAACAAACGATTCGTGTGATAACAAGAATATTTATGCGCGTATTTGAAGATTTTTCATCTTATATGATTTGAACAAAAGTACTGACGATTGGAAGATAACAAAAGGACAGAGACAACCGCGCAGAGCTTGGCGTTCCTGGACCCATCACGCCGGAGACAGACAAGAAATGTACCTTGTTTCCAGTGTGTTTAAAATTCATCGTTGAAAGGGTACTCTTTTGATGGCCTCATTCTAAAACAACAAAACAAGCGTAGTAACTACGCGATGAGAACTTACCCAGGGAACTTGAACTGCCGTTCATTCAGTCCTGACGTGTTGAGCACTTGCATTTCATCATCGGTTAGAGTAAAGTCGAAAATCTGTAAAAACCAAAATGCAGCTGGAATAAGAGGGCATTTAAAAGCGGATGCATATGTATGATGTAGGTATGTATGTCCAGATGACTGGACAGTATAAACGGACAGGTAAGATTTCGAAAAATAATCTGATTTGCACGTGACTTTGATTTTGATAGGACACAGCTGGAGCGGATTGTCATAAAGGAAAAATTCAACTGGATTCGGTCGAGTCATCTGTCAAAATCAAATCCGTGTGCAGATGAGAGTGTTTGTCGTAACCCGTCCTATTTGGGTACAAGAACACAAGGTCAACATAAACTCGGGGACTGCGCCTACCTGATGAGCCTCAAGAAAGGCGGACCCGGTTGTGAACTGTCGAAGATTTTTCAGCAAGTTCATGAGGAGAGCGTTACGTCTCGGAAGAACAGTTAGTGGTATTGTTTCCGGCGATCACTAAATGTGTTGCGTTACGCAAAGAGCTAAACGTAGGCACATCGATCTATCAGAGAGAATCCTATTTATTTGCACATCTGAATGGGCACCTGATTGTCAATTTAGCATGCGTCACAATATCCTTGGACGCTAAGCAAGCGTTATTGCTCAGATCGCCACATAAAACAGACCATAATTGTAACAGTGCATCATAAACTATGAAGCGGATAACACTTAGCAAAAGTTACTGATGTTGTGGAAGGCTTCTGACACATGTGACGCCGACTTGCCATCAGGTTGTCTTGTTTGGCGATTTGTGCTTCGTTATGGATCGGTAGCCCAGCCGATGCCTCCCCAATATGACGCGAACCTTGTACAGTAAACGAGTTAGCAATTTCAAGGTGCTTCAGAGTGTATGGACAGATCGGTTGGAAAAAATCTTAACACTGACAAACGGCTTCAAAATATTTTATCTGTAACTTATTCCACGAATACTTTCGGGGACTTAGCCGTCACTGAAATTGGGATACAAGAACAAGTCGGAAAAGTGTGTTCCTCTTTGACATCCGATCATCTACAGTACGAAAATCAAGCAAAAATTCGTACGACTTGCCATCTCGACACACCACTCACAAAGAAAGCAACATTTTCAAGGTTGTCTCCTGAAGAGAATCCGGTGGAAACCGGCTGCAATTTTAGGTGTTCCGTAGATAAACGAGAGAAGTCGGTCGTGTCACGTGTCTGATCTTCCTACACTAACTTGATGTGCACCGATAGCGATAAAGGCTAAGGTTTCGGTTACTCATCACAATCTTACGACTATATGGCCGTCCTCTCGATGAGGTCACCATTGGCGAGGACTATCGCTCAGAAGGGAGCATCTGACTTGTCCCCTGAGGTGCAGTCAAATGATAGATAATCTCAGCCAGACGCTGTCGGTGGCGTTTTCCTTTGGGCAGTCTCACCAGAGAAGAGTGAACTTATAGAAACGGAAACTTTCTTCTCAGATACCAGGTTCTGGGATAATTTTCCATTTTTTTTATATTTTCCTTAATCCACAAGCTCCGAACGCTCTAATTCGCTTATTGTAATCTACCAACTTAAGGGACCTAATCGAGGAAAAAAGGCGCGTTCATAAAGCATACACCAGGATAACCGACTGCGGTTTGCTGGTAAAACGCAGAGAAACACTGCTTAAAGTGACATCTTTTTACGAAGCATCGGTGTTGAACACTGATGTCATGCTGTCGATGATGATGATGATGACTAATAAAAAGTTCCATTCCGATATAGGTCGGAGACTTCGAAATACCCGATCACTCTAAATGATATTTGGAGTATCAGAACACCGAGTGCATCAAGCTGCCAGCCTTGTTAGTATTTCATTTCAACACCGTACTTGTAGTTCTATTGGACAAATAAACCAAAACAGGTCTGTTCATGACCTTTGTTGGCCAAAGGGCTTCCTGAGCTTACAGTGGTCACCGGCCAGGAACTTGCAAGTCGGGTACTTAGAGTTCTCTTTTCGGTGGGATTCTGACCAAAATATCTGCTCAAAACATTATCTGTCTTGAGCTGACAGGCAACGACAGTCATAAAATTCAAAGCAAGCTTCCCACAGGTATCTCCTTCCAACAGGCCGTCTCTTGGGGAGGTCTCTCTAGAGAAGACACTCCAATGTTACTTTTCTGTTGCATCACTTTTAACTGAAGGCCTCTACAAAAGACAGCAGCATTACTCAAAGATCCATAATCCTCGGGTGAGTTTATTGGTTGTTGATCAGATGGCTGTTGATCTGTTCTACGAGTTTGGCAATTCGCTTGCAAACGTTTCGTCACCATACGAGGAGACATCATCAGTGCGCAGTGATGATGTCTCATGCTGGTGCGGGGTTAAATTAAACGGCCGCAATCGCGATGGACACACTTAAACGGATTCGGTACTAATATAAATATGATTTTATCAATCAATATCCGAAAGGTTGGTCAGTCATCAGCAACTGTCAACTGCAAATCACCAGGTGTCACGTAAACTCACGTAAACTCATCGGACGCGTTCAAACTGCGACCGGATTACACCATGCAACACAATTTCGGGGTCATCAGTGCTTGTGGATCATGACTTAGCACCGTTTAAACAAAAGGCTTGGATGGCGCAATCAGTCGCAGATTTCACAGGGTCGTTAAACACTGAACACATGCAGACTTGACAACTCAACATTTATTGCAATTTCATTAACTTAGGTAGCGAAGAATACTGGGATGCGACCTTCATCCGCTGTGATAGGATGGTGAAGAAATTCAAGGATCAAATAAGCTCGTTAGTGTAGGCAGTTCTCATACACGAGACCCCATTGAATGCATTGAGCATTCAGTTGCCCGTCTATTCTATTCGTTCAATCCTTGTTTGAACCTGCCCTGTATCCAAATATCAATGGGTTTCAATTCAATCGTTTAGTAGAAGGCTATGCTGCTTATCGAATAGAGTCAATTGCTTCAGCAACTATGTTGAATGCAATGGATTGTTGAGTGATTTGTGCAGGCACCATCTGGAAAGGATGCAACTCCCTCATACCTATCTTGCGCTTCTTTTTAACTAATCGGGTTACTAAACAAGCACCAGTAAAAATAGCTTGGCAGTTGCAGACATTGCCAGTTATCTGACTGTTCTTTTGAAGGCTAGACTTCCAGAGTGTGATATAACAAACGGATCGAATTAAAGCACTGTTGCTGGTAATTACGGGGTCTTGTCTAGGCTTGGGTGACCCGGCAGTGGCCCAACCCTCGTGCTTCCTTCGGTGGCATGGCAATTAGGAAAGAGTGTTACAGCTGAACCGGTTTTTTTACTCACGGGGAATGGCCAAATACGACTATATATTGGCCCCTCAAAACATGACTCTCCAAACAGGGAGGATTTTTCCCAATTTCTTGGGACTTACCGTTTCGCTGATGGTGTGGGCGAGAAGGCATCGATCGTTCTGTCGCAACAATTACGTCCATTTTTTAGGAACCAGAAGAGCTGTACTCTACTTGTTTTGGCTAAGTTGGATTTTCGAAAATTGGGCGTTATTGATCACGTGCGGTTTGTATTCCTCGGGACAAGATGTTTGACAGCTGAACAAAATTTAAGGAGTGATCCCATAATTTGTTTGTGTTGCACCGAATTGGTGGATACGGTTTCAATCTTTGGCTTAACAGTGCTTGGTAGAGTTTCTCTAGTCGGCTCTAAAATGCCGCATGGTCCTGATCAGCTGATCCTCTCAGTGAAACCTCACTGGCGTTGCAGTTTAGTCAGCTGTACTGACAGGTTAACCAAATGAGCACTCATCAGGTGTGAGGTATTCCTGACCTTCCAAAATATAATAACTATAATGTAATATAATATAATAAATACTATAATATATAGTCACAATTTGGTAACAATATAATGATCAAAAGTATAATATAATGCAATGCAAATACAAATATAATGTAAATCTGTCAGAGCAGTCAATAATCTTCTCAGAACAATGATCGACCAATATGAAATAAATCAAACTAGTGAAATTTTCGTGTGTCGTTTTCCCAAGGCACCCATCTATATCAAACGCGTCTCCGGTAACTGATCACCACAATAAGTCATTTTAAATCTGTCTCATACAGCCTCTGAGCACTTCCCAGTTTTGTCAACCCGAAGGCATTAAAAAAAAACGACTCCATTTCATCCCAGCTCACATGATGCCGTGGTTCTCTACCTTTTGGTGGTGCACTGAGTCTTGGTATCTCAGCCAAAGTTTACGCGAACTCTGTTGGCTGCTCCCCCTTGGAGAATATCCATCCAAGTGTGCAAAAGCCGGTTTGTACGGACAATGAAGTTTAACTGGCCGAAAATAACTGTGAATTCAACGAATCCTTGATTATATAGTTTGATGCTTTGCTTCTGTCCTTTGACCATCTTGGAGTGACCCACTGTCAAAAAACGAGCTAGCTTTTTTATCTTTACGAGAACCATTTTGTCACTCTGATCATGTATTTTGTTGCTCATCACCCGAAGACCACACACAAAAATGGTAGTTGTTTGTTAAACAGATATTCTAACTCATTGGATATCCAAACAATGTAAATGGGGCAGTTGAAGAAAACGTTGAAGAAAACACGTCTTTCTGTGGGTAACGCGACAGTGAACGGAAACTTTAGTTTTTAGACTTCTAGCATCGAATTCTGGGTAGCTCGGCTAAAACTGGTTCACCAGAAATGATTATAAGGCGAGATCTCACCTTGGAATTCTCCACGATTCTTTTCGGATTGGCGGATTTCGGAATCACAATTATATTTCGTTGCAGTAAATAGCGAAGAAGGATCTGAGCTGACGTTTTGTTGTGGCGTTCCGCGATTTCACGAACCCAGGAAGCAGTGAGAAGATTGGTTTCATCACTGTGAACAGGCATACGGGTCAAAAATTAAGATTCAAACGAGTGGTTGTAAGGAACTTATCTTTCCGCATCCACAGTACCGTGCTTTATCCTCATTGGGAAAATTCAAACAATTGCCTTTTGCAATTTGGACCCTTTTTGCAAGCAGGAACCGCTTTTCAGGCAACGGATGAATGACTTGCAACAAGTGGTCCAAATCTACTTATCTACGTTCCTTGAGTCTTCGGCAAATTAAACTTGTCTCATCATTGTCAGTCGAACCTACATTACGAAAATCTGTGCAGTCTGAGTGGAGTACTGAACTGCGGTGTACCTATCATTCTGGCTGAACAAAGTGGTTTGCAAACTCACCAATTGTTGAACTGAGTCTATTTCAACTTGAGGATTTAACACTAAGAATAATTTTTAAAATCCTAATCGACAGTGCTCACCACACACCTATGGAGACGGAGCAATACACAGATCTCTCATCTTCATTGGTTTAAAGCTATATCTATGTCCCCAGTACCAACGTACCAAAGATATGCCTTGAAAAAGCACTAAAAGAGGTTAAACTGAATGAGGATACCACGGTACTAAAACCAGCCGAACGTTCTGGTACTGCGATGTTCGATGAGACAGACTATATCTACAAACGCAGAGTGCTTCTATTTGGGAGTTGAAAATTTACCGTCAATTACAAATCTGGCGATATGAAGAAGCTTATTACCTGTGATTTGCACGTTTTGGTTCATGACTTTATATCAGAAATCGAGTTCAACATACCAGTCTTGCATCATACTTTCCAACTAAATGGTTTGTCAAAGACTCATAAGCCTGTTATACTACTTTGCTTCATAAGGTAGATGGAGAGCCAATCAGTGAGGTGCTTTACAGCCACCCTAGTTAATCTGTGCTCGATTGCTATTCCTATTACATCATTTCTTTTGAAATTTGAAGGCCACGGTGCAGCATTCCACCCATATGGAGACGCGTTTCGCTTTCGCCAGTTGCTACTATTAAGCACCGAAGCTTGCCCACTGTTTAATAGGATTTTGGACATTCGCAATTTTCCCTTCGTTTGAAGTGAATGTTGCATATATTTGATTAATTAGCAGATCTTTTGGGAATCTTCCCAAGTCATTATTTTGCCACGTAGTCGAACAGCATGGTAAATATCAGGAGACTTTCCATCCTGTTTTTCATATTCCATTCCCTTAATCTGTCTTATTAGAGCCATGACAGAACCATATCAAATCGCCCAGCTCAGCGAACAAGCCAACGACCATCTATGCTACCTGAGCTACCAACATTTTCCTCTATAGAATACTAGACTCAGTTATCGAACAAGTCCGGCCAAGAAGAGTGTCTTGACGTAACCTTATTGTATGGTGACAGGGTTTGACATAATAATCGGCTAACGGGTGATGGTATTTATTTCATTGGAATTCCTGCTTAAGAGCAAACCAACAAGTCTTAGTGCCTGAGAGTGCTTCATTTCCGGTAGCGTGTAGTTTCCCTGGGGAATGGTTACATAAAACTGTCTAACAGTACACCCCATCAAAGTGAGGGGGTACTGTACTAATACGAAATAACTTTGGAATTAAAACTCAAGAATTCTGACTTGCATTAAGACAAAGTGACCAGTCCAGGATCATCAACTGTTAGTTGTATTCTTGAAAGTGAGATTATGAAACAAGCAATTTTGGAGTACGGAGCGAAAACAACCTCCATTATCTCGACCCAAAACCGGGGGTTCAGTGAAGCTTGGATAAAAATAACGACTGGTGATATGGGTTGTGTACAAAGATTTACTGGCCTCAGAGGTGGAAAACCTATCAATCTGAAGGAAATTGTGATTAAGACCATCATCTTTTTCACTTTTGTGACAAAGGAACAAATCGATGAATTTTAATAAAGTGGAATTCAAGATCACAGCGTTACCAAAATTTTTGCGTTACCCTTGAATCAGATCTTGCCAGACGGCTGCAGAAGGCGATCCAAGGGGTGCGTACGCTGTGACAGTCAGCCCGGAAGCCTGAGCGTACTCAACCAATTTTGTGTTAGGAAAGTTTGCATTAATTTCGATTTGTAGATTGACCGGTTTTATGCGTGCGCCATTCATTATTTTATCAATCTGGCGGCGGTTGAAGTTTGACAAACCGATCGCTCTGACCATGCCTTCGTCCACCAAGCTTTCCATGGCCTAGAAAGTAAAAAGACAGGGTGAGTTACGGTAGGATATCGCAAGAATATTTGCAGTAAATACGTAACATTTGCTTTTGTCAAAAGGCCGTGAAAGATACTACTAAAACTATTCCTGTGTAGTTATTAATGTGAAAGTTTTCAGTCTTTGAGTGCGTACACTGTACAAGTTAATTATGGTTGTCCATAACACTGTTGTTATCGAATGGCAACTCAGAACTGCCATAAACAAGGAGTCTCATGGAAGTGCTTCACACGTTTTTCTTGAATCATCTGAAATCCGCGTTTGACCGTTTTGTGTTGTTTCTCGTCTAGTTCCTGCTGCGCTCGTCCGAGAGCTGCACTTGCGTGTTCAAACCACGTGCGCGAATTCGGCCACGTCTATAGTGATTGGTCCTCGTCCCATCCATACTTCGTGCCTATCCCGACTTTATGCTAAGATGGTTATCCATAAAGGGCAAGTGAACCATGACACGTGATCGAAGGTCACCCCCGGTTAGCAGCACGCATAGTAACTCACATGCTCCACTATATAACGCGCAACACTGACGCACCGCTCCAATCCCTAACAACCCTCTGATGATACCACCTCGATTGGTGATGAGATGTTTTCAAACAAAACAGCCAGCTCAGCAAAAACCGACCAGAATGAATTTTTGTGTTGAATGAACTTTAGTGACAGATCTTTTGTCACAGGTAGCTTTCGTCTTTCTTCTTACTCTTACACCACCTTTCCCAATTAACAAACAAATGGAACAAATGGTACTTTTACAGAAATCGGTTTGTGGGAAGCAAGTGGACAATTAGGCCTTTGTACCAGGGTTTAGTTATCATCGCGATAAAGTAAGTAAAACCCGAGGATGTCTTGAGCGACGGATAACAAATGTCGAATAAAATGTGTCATACTATGGAGTGCTCAGCGAATCATTGAAGTAACACTGCAAAATGTATATCATACAACCACCGAAAAGGGATTGGGGATAAAATAAAATGGCTAAACCAAGCAACCAGTTGAGGACAGTACATACTTTCCATGTATCCAGAAGTGGAACATCATCCACCAGGAAATCTTGACCGTTTGAAGCCATAGGAAAACTCACATCACTGTGCTTTAATTCAGCTAGTGGAAATATTATCCGCATACATACTTGGAAAGCAACAGGCCAGTGAATCAGATATAAATCAACGTAGAGAAGCCTGAGATCCGATAAGCTCGTCTGGCAGCAATCTCTGACATATTCCGGCCTTAAATGTGTGCACCAGCACTAAATTCAAATAAATTACCAGCAGAAGACCGACTTTACTTTTGTTGTGATAAAAATATCTTCACGCTTAATGTGCAACTTCTTCATGGATTCCTCAAGAGCCTCACCAATATCTTTCTCGTTGCCGTACAGGAAAGCAGCGTCTATATGTCGATATCCAGCTTTCAGGGCCGAGAAAATCACGGTTTTCATTAAGCCTGGAGGTGCCTATAACGCAGGTGAACTCATAAAAGCAGCTCACGGTCCATGTTCCCAAACCCAACATCGGAATCGAACCGCCTGATAACAGTTTAAGCGAAGTCTGCATAATTCCAAAGCTGCCTGAAACAAAAACGCAAACCAAAAAGTGACAAGGTGACGTGGTCACCTACGGCAAGGTAATGTAACAGGCCCCAAAATGTTGTTTAGTGAATTGCAGAAGATTCTGCTTAGTACTGATACCAAGCGAAAATACTTAGTGTTTAAGAGTATATTTTTGAACACCGAGCCCAACGGTAATCAGATCACTTGAATGTAAAACTTACAGCCATAAGGGAAGAGATAGTTTTTGAAAGAGTTTCGTTTTAGCTTTATATGCCTGCATGGCGTCTTAATTCAGCTCAAAACCCTCCACATATTTTAAATAAGAGCATTTACACTAAATGTGATTTCCAATAATTCATTAGCTTCACATTTTTTTCAGCTATATGAAAACTTGATCACGTTGGTAGATCACTTCGGTAGAACATATCAGCTTACCGCACACAAGTCAGAAGAAATCATGTTTCGTTTATCTGTGCTCCTCATATTGATCTACTCGCATCCGTACACAGAACACGACCTGGTCTTAGATATAACACGCTACTCATGAGGCTACTGAAAGCTCTCCGATAACCAACGGCAGGTTTCACCATTCTTGTGGTTCGCTGGTGGGCGGAGTCCCTTGGTCTCCGTCGGCTTTACGTTCTATTTGAACCCAAAATTGTATGAAAATATACCCATGTATTTATACCCATTTGAATTCCGATCTGTTTTTCATGCGAGACTCACCTTAAACTCAGCTGAATCGCTCGTTTATGATGATTTTCAATCAAATATGCTTGGCCTTCTAGTGCAGATCTATCTGGATCAAAAAATGCCCAGCAGCGGGGTCGCGTTCATCTAAACTGGGCCTCATCCGGTAGAAGTAGGTAGATCAGACAAGAGACTGCTTAGCTGGCAGATTTTGACTGTTTTCCAAAAAGCTACCCCATGATCAGCGGGTTTTCACATCAAGAAATTGCGGAGATGTGTGTTCGTTTGGCTTTAACCAAAAGGAATCATCAGCATCCAATATTACATGAGAGAAAAGGAAATCCACAAAGTTCCGGACAGGAATTAGACGCAACAGCATTCAGCTAGTCAGTCAGTTAGTCAGGCCATCAAACAAAATCAACCAATCAATCAACCAATCGAATGATCGACCGATTCCTCAATGAATGAGCAAAGCGATCTATCTATCTATCTATCTATCTATCTATCTATCTATCTATCTATCTATCTATCTATCTATCTATCTATCTATCTATCTATCTATCTATCTATCTATCTATCTATCTATCTATCTATCTATCTATCTATCTATCTATCTATCTATCTATCTATCTATCTATCTATCTATCTATCTATCTATCTATCTATCTATCTATCTATCTATCTATCTATCTATCTATCTATCTATCTATCTATCTATCTATCTATCTATCTATCTATCTATCTATCTATCTATCTATCTATCTATCTATCTATCTATCTATCTATCTATCTATCTATCTATCTATCTATCTATCTATCTATCTATCTATCTATCTATCTATCTATCTATCTATCTATCTATCTATCTATCTATCTATCTATCTATCTATCTATCTATCTATCTATCTATCTATCTATCTATCTATCTATCTATCTATCTATCTATCTATCTATCTATCTATCTATCTATCTATCTATCTATCTATCTATCTATCTATCTATCTATCTATCTATCTATCTATCTATCTATCTATCTATCTATCTATCTATCTATCTATCTATCTATCTATCTATCTATCTATCTATCTATCTATCTATCTATCTATCTATCTATCTATCTATCTATCTATCTATCTATCTATCTATCTATCTATCTATCTATCTACCTATCTTTCCATCTACTTATCCCACTGTCTGACTTTACGTTAATGCTTAGGTTACGCGGACGGCGATGCGGCATAATGTCCTTCTGTTCTGTTTGGTCTCCATGATAATTATGAATCAATTTTGGTAATATCTCACAGGTTATGTTTGTATTTTCCTTTGGTTTGAAGCACCGCCTAATTATACAGCTACATAGTTGTGTTATCTTTTTAACCACATTGAGGATACGTGTGGAGCACGTCTTGTTTGGTGCTTTAAAAATAACTTTAGATTGCAGACAGATCACAGAAGTTAGGGACCCAGGTATGACAGCATTTTGGCCACTACCTATTGTATGTAATATATCATGGAGTTATAGAAATCTCACATGAAGTATATTCATCCCCGGCTTCAACCAATGAAACTACCTCCGTTCTAAGATTGGCTGTTATTTCTAATCTTCGGAGGGAGATTGTAAAATGAGATCAGAGTAAAGTGGATACAGCTTACTGGATGAGTAATTAGGTTAATAGCCTAGGCAAGTTTATAGTTTGGATTAAGGGTACGCAAAGAGGATTCTCTGCAGAGAAATTATTACTGGGGTGGGCACACTTTGCGACTCATTCACCAGTTAAATCCTGTAGAAAAGTGACCTCAAGTTACCGACCCTGGACAACATTCGGTTGTTCCTGATGATCGGAAAAATATCTCCTTGTCCCGTTTCTCAAAGCCTACAAATAATAAAACGGGTAAAGCGAGTTATCAGCAGCGTACTTTGGGCCCAGGAATCTAAGAACTGTTTATTTTCGTTGGTCCGGATTTGTTCGTAACATGATAACACGGCGCTTTATGTCAAACTGCCTCCCGTCGGTAGAATAAATGAAGATTTGCACATTTCGAACGCAGCTTTTGAAACACCAAGACAAAATGGTGATTTGGTAGCATATCTAGTTTCATTAGAAACCTAGTAACCCTCTTATTATAGTGTAGTCACGTCATATTCTACAACGTTTCCTAATTATCCCTACTCCACATCCCTTCCTCATTGTGTGCACATCTATGGATACGTCGAAAGATGAAGGGGAAGCGGCAAGCGAGTCGCTGGGGCGTTGGTGTTCGTACATGTTCGTAGTCATTTGATAGCCAATGATTATGCTTCACGTTTACAATTTTTTGGTCTCCGAAATTTATTGCTGTCCACTTAGGCAGTGGAGGCAGTTTGTCCAAGAGTCGGTCTTCCAAAAAATGGATTCACTTGTCAACTGCACGGTGGAATTTTCAAGTGTTCCAAATGAATATCTCTACCACCAAGTAAAAACTACGAAGATCTTAGCTGGTAGGTATGTTCACCAGTAAATGGCAGGATGGGGTATTTGGTGGTGCATTTCCGGTAGTAGCTTTGGACATCGTCTTTTGATCCATTGTTGACGCTGTTCACTGTTTCAATTAAAATACGTGAAATTTGTACAGTCTGCCCAGTATGAAGGCATAGTGCACCGGATATCTTACTCTGGTTCGACTGGGGATGCAGTCACTGGTGATAACCTACAGTTCGAATGACTATTCCGAGCTGTGTGGATAAAACAGCTGAATAGGTTTTGCTTAGGTAGACCTCAGTTGCAACTACAGGATTTGAAAAGGCCCAAATGAGCTGTCGGTTAGTGAATTTAATTCCTCCACCGTGCAGGTCACCAAGGCTATTGCAACCAGCAAGCCTATTACTGATTCGTTTGTGTACAGGGTGTACGAGACTATTTCGATCTAACTTAACCAACTACGGGTCAAACGATCGCTATGTTGTTGAGGGATCAGCCACCAAAACAATAAAAACTAACCTCAGTTGACTCGACGAAATCGAGCGGAAATCAATCTACTGCAGAGTAGTGATGTGGCCTAATAAATGACAAACGAGAACTTGAATGGAGTTGATTAGTCACGTAATATGAAGACAACCAGTAGGCCAATCCGGGACAAACTGGCTGAAAGTCAAAGAGTAGAGCGGCAGCCAATCGCAGGGAAGCGAGACAGTAAGTAGGGCGCCGTAGAACTAGATGCATACTCATGTAACTGTTGCCGTAGTCAGATTATTCCTGATAACAGATCCACAGCAGATGTGTTACACGGAAAGCGCCAATTTTGGTGACATTGTTAAAAATCCAATTTGTCTGTTTTCATTTTGTATCTTGTCAGCGGTGTACAAGTATCGTTTCCATATGAACACGAGAATACTCTTCGGATGACCACCTTCTTATTGAATATAGCAATACGAACAACGTATAGCGTAAAATACAGGCGTACATCCGCATAGGTCGATCTGTTCTATTGGTTGGTGGGCCAGCACCTTACGAAAAATAAGAACATGCATTTAGTCTTGCTTTGTTGTGCTTCGTCCAACTCACCACAGAAGTGTTACCGATTTCTGAACTCCTCATGAACTATGGTAGCCATTCTTACAAGAAGCATCCTTGGGGTTTCGAAAACTGTTGCATTGGTGGAATGCAAACCATTGTCAGGGAGCGTCCAGACACGAAAAGTAACTGTACGGAGAACCACGGGTCTAAAAGTTCATCATCGGTATACCACACGTTCCAGATAGCAGGTACTTTGGCGGAGCTTACATAAGACGGCCTAACAGCATGAGACCAGCGGAGTGGGTGTAAAATTTTCCACCGCAAGAACATTGCCATCGGGCTGGAGTAAACGAATAAGCGAATGGACACAGTTGACTATTTAGCCATCCTATATATTTACGCAGATTCTCTGTATGCTTGTCCTGGGTTCTCTGTATTCTTTTTACAGTATAGTCTGGCAGGCTCTATTCGACAGACGGCCACCCACAATACAACAACCATACGTTTTGCAGAGCAACTAAAATACAGGCATTTGTATGAATGATTTGTGCCTAGAGGAAACACGATTAGAGAAACAATTCAGCAGAGATTCACTGTTCAGCGAATGTCTGGGTTTCTGGTTCATGTGAACCGCACGAAATTGTTAAATTTGGTAATTTATTCACACGCACATGTAAAGCGGGAAGTTCAGTAGCCAGATCAAAGTCGATTGGAGTTTCTTTTCAGTGATAGACCCAGTTTCTCCCCCACTTTTAATATGAGATGGCCCTGGGAATGGTTTTACGATTTCAAGGCCTAAAAACTAGGATTTAGTCGGAAG